AAGAGATATAGTCTTTTTTTATACAATAGAAGAAATTACGATCGATGAAGACAATACCTTTATTATTGATACAAGTTATATATATATATATATATATATATATATATATATATATATATATATATATATATATATATATATATATATATATATATATATATATATATATATATATATATATATATATATATATATATATATATATATATATATATATATATATATATATATATATATATATATATATATATATATATATATATATATATATATATATATATATATATATATATATATATATATATATATATAATATATCCAATATAACTATAAAACAAAATGAAAAAAAATATATGTAGTTAGTAAAATACAAAACAGTTTTTAGATAAAATAAAATATTAGTTATTGTAATGTAAAAAATTAAAGATTATTGAACTTAGTTTATATTTTACAAAAATCATGATTTTTTGGCTGGCAACGGATATACTTTCAAAACTAGTTATCAAATTGATTTAAAATTTGGCCCACTTATTTATTGTATTAGTATTTACAACATAAACTAAAATAATATTTACGGCTTCTACCGTTTAGTATTTTTTAAAGATTGTGTGCCCTGAATCACCCTATTTTTGTATAAAACTTACAAAATGGCTGATATTATAAAATATTTTCGTCCATGACAAAATGACATACATATTATTAGACAAAAATACATATCATTAGTCAAAATTTAATCATGAATTATGAACGGTTGCTGAAAAGTCTTCGTTGCCCTTTAAACAATTTGTTGAATTTTAACGATCAATAAATAATGATAAGTTTTTTTTAAATTAATTTTTAAAATTTTTTAGCTTTCTTATATAATATTAAATAATTCGATAGGAAAAAAATCCTAGTGTGTACAAGAAAGTTTTGCGAACGTTTTTTAATGGTCCCGTAAACGTCCATATGAAACGGTGACCGGACATTTTTTAAACGTTCTGTGAACGTTTTTAAATAGACCTGCAAAAACGTTTTTTATTGGTTTTTTGAACGTCCACATGAAAAGGTAAACGGACGTTTTTCTGAAAACGTTATTTATTGGTTTTTATTACGTCTAAAGGAAACGTTTTGTCGCTTTTAATATTTTTCTAACCACCTTTTTTTTAAGTATTAGTTAATTAAGTAAGTAACTTATGACGTACAGAAAAATAAAGCCTTTTCACATTTGAAAACTTATGTCTAACAGTCTAGATCCGGAAAAATGTTTTAACATTTTGTGTTTATTTACAATTTAAGCATACAAAAACAAAATAAAGTAGTTTTTTTTGCTATTCTATTAGACTATTTATTTTATTATTCACTTCAAACAATCGCCTTTCAACTTATCGACAAATAAAAAGAAAAATACCATAGAAGAACATCTTTCATGCATTTCACTAGCATGTAAAAAAATGCATCAAAATGTAAATTATAGTAATAAGAAATGAGCAATCGAAAATATCACACAATATATTGAAAAAACAATATAAAAATTTAAAAGATACCTATAATCACTCCACTCAATAAAGTTTTTTTAAAATGATTTTTTTCATAAGTTCAAGCCTTTATAAAAACAATGATAGAACACATTTTGACATTATTTCATCCAAAACATTATTTGCAGAGCTGAAAAAGACCTTAAAAAAGTATAGATAATCATTTAATTTGATCACATTTTAATTTATATAGGAAATAATTATACATAAATGTAAACAAGAATATAACAAAGAAATAAAACTTCGCTTTATTATTTAAAACTATTTCACTTTCATCAAACCTTGTTATATCATTTATTTTATCATAATAAAATCATGAATCTTCAAACTCAGTCTTTTCGCCCAGTATGTCTACTGCAGATAAATACTTTTTAAGACTTTACGCATCTTTGTTCCATATATATTTCAAATTAAAAAACTATTAGAAAAAAAAAGTTCAAACTAAGTAAAATATTAATAAAAAACTGTTGTGGAAAACCGAAAATTTTAATTAAAACAATAAACATCTTTGAAAAAAGAAAAATACAACATTTAATAACATACTTGTTCCACGAAAAACTTTAAACTTAATGGCAGTTTATTGCAACAATGCAGCAATGCAGTGCTGAAATTCTTTTTCAACTCGTTAAAGAAATATTTTCTATATTATTTATAAATATATATAATATTATTTTCTATATTATTTCTATATTATTTATTATTATATAGCAACTTGTTAAAAATACATACACATTTTTAATATCACATACGCTTTTTAGCTTAAGCATACAAAATTTGTAATGAACATAACATTCAAGAAAAGTATAATTTACTTATTAGGATTTATACTGAAAATGGATATTAGTATAAACAGTATTAAGATATTGCTAAAAATTATAAATGCTCCACAAATCCATCTTATTCTCAAAAAATTGATATCAAAAATTTCGTTACTTTACCATTGATCCTCAAGTTAAGACTTTTTCTTAGAAGATAATTTTGTAAAGTTGGCATTAAAACAGTCTTCCCATTAGGTAATCCCATGATCAATATACTTTTCCGCAATAAGTCAAAACTCCTATTAGTTATCCTGAAGTCTACAACACATGTTGTGCATGTTTTATGAGGGAAACAAGAAAAATATTTCCACGCGGTTTCAAAAAAATTTCATAAAATTAAAAATTTTGTTAAAAATCAAGCGTTGCTATGTTTTTTTTAATGGTTTTAAAAGATTGATAATGGCTCTCACTTTATGAGCCTTAAAAAGAGTCATTGAAAAAAAGAATTAAATAGTATGGTACCGTATATAATATTTTAACGCTTATAATGTGGGTGTATATATATATATATATATATATATATATATATATATATATATATATATATATATATATATATATATATATATATATATATATATATATATATATATATATATATATATATATATATATATATATATATATATATATATATATATATATATATAATCCGTCTTTTTGACTTTTTGATAGAAAAATACGCAAATTAAAATCTTAGGCTTATAATAGATTATTATTACTATTGTTATTAGTATTATTATTATATGTGATGTTAATATTACTTACATTTTATTTGCATTTTTATTACCGTCATTATTACTTATTGGAATTGTTTAATATATGAATGTGATATTTGTTATTATTATTATTGTTGTTACTATTGTTGTTAACTTCATCACTATTATTATTAATACTATTATTGCTTTTGTTATTATAATTACTGATATAATCATTGATATTGTCATTATTATGTTTAATAGTATTATTGGTATTATTATAATCGTCTTCGTTTAATTTACATTATTATTATTATTATTATTATTATTATTATTATTATTGCTATTATTATTATTATTATTAATACTATTATTGCTTTTGTTATTATAATTACTGATATAATCATTGATATTGTCATTATTATGTTTAATAGTATTATTGGTATTATTATAATCGTCTTCGTTTAATTTACATTATTATTATTATTATTATTATTATTATTATTATTATTATTATTATTATTATTATTATTATTATTAGCATTTATTTTAAGTTGGCTTGCTTAATTTTTTTTTTTTTAAGATACACGTTAGTCTTGACGGAAAAGTAGATGTCCAGTCAAAGTTACATCAACTAAAACAGGAACAAATAAATGAAACATTAATATATTTTAAACAGTTTTTTTTTTTATTATACATCTAGATTTATACATTTTTCCAATACTTTTTGAAATTTTGTTTTTTATTAAAATAATGTGTTATTTTTTTGCTCATCAATAAACAAGCCTAATAATTTAACACAAAATATCGTTGTAACTAGGTTTTTTACTATCAAATGACCGGCAGTTTTAAAGACAAGGTGTCAGATTTAGAAGATTTAAAAAATACAGCTTCTATAAGAGGATTTTTAGATTACATAAAAAGTTTATTTCCGGTTCAAGAGAGTTTGTTGGCTCTAAACTACTCATTGAGGTTGTCTTCTTCACGATTTATTGTAGTAAAAATTGTTTTAATTTTTGAACTGGTATAAAAAAAATTTAAGTGTTGTCAGCAAAAAGACTGAAGTTTAATATAGTAGATGATAAGTAAATGTTGTTTATATAAATAACAAACAATGAAGGCCCTAGAATAGATTGTTATGAAACTCTGCAGATAATGTTTACTTTACTGTAGGTTTCGTTATAAGATACGCATTATTTGTAATTTTAAGATTCCATTTGATTTTTTTTTTTTTTTTGACTCTAAGTTTGTAGAGATGAATATCATAGTCCACCGAGTCAAAGGCTTTTGAAAGGTCGATAAACACTTCAAGAGTAAATTGTTTGCCTTCAAACCCATTTAAAACTTCTTTAACTAATATAATTACTACATGTTTTGCAAAGTTCTTTTTTTTAAAAAGAAAAAAAAAAAAGAACTTTGTGAGTTAATAAGTTTTTGTTTAGAACTTTGTGAGTTGATACCAGAGAGTTGTAAAGCATTATTTGATTTAGAATTTTAGAAAGAAAAAAGGAGTATTCAAATAGATCTATAACTAGATAACTATGAAATATTACCATTTTTAAGTATTAGAACCACTTTAGCTAGTCTCATAAGATTAGGAAGGAGTAATCAATAATATAAAAAACTTCTTTAACAACCCTAGGTTTTATACCATGAAGATCAGCGCTTTTGTTTGATTTTATCAATTCTAAAAGCAAACCGATGTTCATCAGGCGATACCTCAATACCACCTTTTCAATAACGCAGTCCATTTTTATCGGAATTGATTTAAAAAATATTTTTGCTGCAGTTATTCTGTTGCTAGTTTCTCACCCACGTTTATTAAAAAGTTACTAACCTGTCTGGAATATCTTTTTGGTCTTTATTAGTTTTTCCTTCATATTTATCATAGCTATTTACATTCAAATACCGATGTCATGATATATTTAACATTTTTTTTATTAAACAAAAATTTTTATTGCAGGAAAAAATAAAAATGGCAAATTCTAAAAGTCTATTTTGGTATTTTTTTCTAATTGGATGTCAAATTGTTATGACTGAATATTTTTATCCAGCAAAAAAGTCATTAACACGTGATTCCTACACTTTATATAAAGGTCGAAAAGTAGAAAACAGCATATTTTCAACTAAAATCTACACAGAATACAAGGAGTGCGTAAACTTTTGTCACAATAATAAAGAAACCTGTAAATCAATAGACACTGAGATTGTTGACAATAATACTGTGAAATGTCGATTTTTTAACGAACAGTTTCCAAAAACAATATTTGCTGATGGGTTTACTTACATTTCTTCTAAACCGGTATGTTTAAAACCAAAATGAATACGTACCATTTCATTGCTTTTAATCATTTTATACTTTATTTATTTTTTTGTTTTTTAATATATCAATTTTTAGCCAAATTGTTCTCTCAGTTGTGACTTAACGCAGAGCCCTTGCGGAAAATGTAAATGCAACCCGTCGTGTGCTACAAGAAATAGACGTCAATATATATGCAATTGCACGTTAGGTAAATTATTTAAAATTTATATTAATATATTTAAAACAAGATTAAACATAATTTTTATAAAAAAGATTTTTCCCAAAAAATTTGATTTTATGAGGAAATTATGAGGAAGATCATTAGTAAAAATAAAAAATAAAACTAGTTTACGAATAGAACCTTAAGAAATCCCAAAAGTTACTGGAAATAAAGAAAATTTCAGTCAAGAATGACTTATACTGAGGTAAAAAAATAAAAAAAAATCATGAAAAAAAGTAAGGCGCTTTAACTATACACACTTAGTAGTTGCATAAAGTTTATCTCATATCGTCGGGAATAGTGCAAATCCGCGGATCTTCTACAGTTAGGGAGAGCGTATCTGCTTTAATACCTATCGTTCCTAAAAGCTTCTTTAAATATACTGTCATTTATTAAAAAAAAAAAAAATTTGTAATACTTCGCTCTGTATTAGTCCGTTCAGTAGTTTTTATTTCGGTCGATTTCTTGACTATCTAGCTCATTTCCCAAAATTTTGAAACATTTCTAATTTTACAATTTCGAAAATCTTTTGCAATTAATCACATTAATTTTTAAGCATTTGTTTGACTTAGAAGTCTCTCTTACTTATCGCGCAGGTCTTACGGCGACTTGTTTTTTCACACCAGTTGTTCTAAAACCTGTGTATTCATGAATTTTTAAATTCTTATTCCTAAATCGTTTATTCTGCTTTTCTTTTCCTTTCATTTCCATAGATTTAACCATAGTCATAAGAAATAGATAGTCTGGCCACTTGCGGTATTTCTTTGATCAACTCTTTGTTGGCCTTTTTTTAGTGTCCAGTCCCACGCAGAGTGCACAAAGTTTATTTTCGTCGATTGTTTGTCTATGAATTGCTTGTTAAAATACATCTTCTTCATCGAATTAATTAAGTGCCTGGTGCTAATTGTTCTATTTATGGGTGCAGTACTTCTAGGAGGCATAAGGGAGTTTCAATATTTAAAATTCCTGCATCTAGCGATAGTTTTAATACTTCTTGGAGGAAAAATCTAATTGCCATTATACTTAAAGATCGTATTGAAGATTGTAATTTGAAAGCTCAAATAGAAAGTAAATCTCTGTTTATTTGTGAAAAGCATTATCTTCCAGAAATGATACTTCATAACAATAACAGAAAGTCACTAAAACCAGGATCATTACCGACTATGTGCTTACCGAAAAAAGGTTTTATGTCATCGATTCCTGTACAAAGAGAATCTGCTTCTTCTATCATTGCTAAAAGAGATGCTTCAATGAATTCAAATAATATAATTAGCTTTAAGCCTATATATAAACCATATGAAGAATTTACAAATCGTATTAGCAAGTTAAAGATTTGTGAGTGGACAGTGAGTGTGAGTCTTGTTGTGGCAGAATTTAAACTTTATGACACAATTCACTTATGTCCTCGATATGAAATATATGTTGATGACAGTCTTGCTTTTACCAATCGTGTATATTCTTGGCTCATTCCAGATGATCACTCAATATATACAAAATACAGAAGATCAATGCGAAATATTTCAGCTTCAAATCTTATTTCTGTTGTTACTTCTTTTAGACTTTGCTCTGGAATAACTAATATATTTTCTTTAAAATCAAATCTTTATATTAAACATTGTATTTCTAAAAAGTTCGATTTATTTTCATCTAGGACTGAGTTTCCCCTAAATCAGACGGAGTATTTTCGATCTCAGTCATGTATTATGCTGATTGATTTGATGTTATCATGTTCTCAATGCAAAAGCATTGAAAAAAGTGAAATCATAAGTTTGAAAAAAAATATTACTAATGCTTGTATCCCTCCTAAATTAAATGCACCAATTAAATTTACATCTCCAGATCGTCTGAAGCTTACATTACAGAGTGTTCGCCTGGAAAATAAAGAATTAAAAATGGAATTAGCTTTGATGAAGCAAGAAATTGAAAATTCATCACTAACTATAAGTAAAGATACTGAAAGTGATTTAGTTAAAATAATGTCAGGAGATGATAAAAGCAAGATTTCTCCATTTATGAACCTGTTTTGGGAGGAGCAGCAAAAATATTTAAAAAGCTCAAAACAAGGAACTCGTTATCATCCAGCAATAATACGTTACTGTTTGAGATTGGCTGCAAAATCACCAGCTGCTTATGAAGCACTTAGAATAAATGATATAAATAATTCTGGTTTTTTAATTTTACCAAGTCGTAGGCGATTACGTGACTATAAAAATTATGTGAAACCAAAATTAGGATTTAATAAAAATATAATCACAGAATTAAAAGATAAGATCAAAGATTTTTCAGCTCAAGAAAAATTTATTGTCCTAGTTCTTGATGAAATGAAAATTCAAGAAAATCTTGTTTGGGACAAACGTTTTGGAGAGTTAATTGGTTATGTTGATTTAGGTGATCCTAGTGTTAATTTTGCAATATTGCAACAGGCAGACAAGCTTGCTTCTCATGTATTAGTTTTTTTAATAAGAAGTGTTGTAAATCCATTCAAATACAGTTTTGCAAAGTTTGCAACTATAAATATTACATCAGTGCAATTATTTCCTCTATTTTGGAAAGCTGTAGGCATTTTAGAAATCTCTGTTGGTTTAAAAGTAGTTGCAGTTACTTGCGATGGAGCATCGTCAAATAGAAAATTTTTTAAAATCCATTTTAATCTGACTGAAAAAGAAGATAGAAATGGTAATGTTGATGTGACTTACCGCACTGATAAATTATTTGCTGATGATGGCGATAAAAGATTTATATATTTTATTTCTGATGTCCCTCAGTTAATAAAAACAGCAAGGAACAGCCTTTCTCATTCTGGAGCTGGTAAAAGCAATCGCTATATGTGGAATCAGGGTCAACATATTTTATGGTCTCATATAACTGATTTATTTTATGAAGATTTAAAATGTCAGTTGCATGCATGTCCAAAGCTAACTGTTGAACACATCAAAATAACTCCATTTTCAGCTATGAATGTTCGTTTAGCTGCACAAGTTTTAAGTAATTCCTGCAGTACTGCATTAGAAATCTATGCGCCATCAGATACTTCAGGAACTGCACAGTTTTGCAAATATTTTAATGATTTTTTTGATTGCTTAAATGTTCGTAATAAAAATGATTATATATTAAAACGCAACTCATTTTTAAAACCATTTTCTGATACAAATAATGTTCGATTTACATGGCTAAAAGAAAATTTTTTAAAATATCTTTCTGATTGGTTTTTATCAATTGAATCAAGACTTGGAAAATTTTCAAAAAGTGATAGAAGTAATATGTTTATTACTTTGCAAACCCATGAAGGTTTAAAAATTACAGTTAATTCTATTGTTGAACTTGTGAGTTTTTTAATTAATAGCAATGTAAGTTATGTATTAACTAAAAGGTTTTGCCAGGATCCTTTAGAAATTTACTTCGGACAACAACGATCAATTGGTAAAAGAAAAGATAATCCTTCCTTGATTGATTTTGGGTTCAATGATAATACCATTCGAAATCAACATATATTTCACCCAATTGCAGGTAACTGTCTAAATATTAATGAATCAAACAGAACAACAATAAAGGAGAGTATGAGTCGTATACCACGCAGAAAATGGACTTACTCTCAAAATTCTATCGATAAGAAAAATTGATTTTTAATGTGATTTGATAAAAAACTCTCTTATGTCTCCTCGTACTGCTGAAAACAAAAAGATGAATTTGCATAAAAACGGCTATTTTCAGAGCCGCAAATTTTTTAAAAACATTAAATGGCATATAAATAAAATAAATTGTTTTTTGTTTGTTTTACTTTTGTTACAATATAAACCTATGCTTTTTATAGAACCTCTAATTTATAAAGATTTATATAAATATTTTACAAAACCTTTAATAACTGCAATTTTATATGGAACCGTAGTTAGGGGTGAAATTCTTAAAGCTTTTCTATTTTTCATAGGTACCACTGCAGGCCAACACCTCTCCTCCAAAACATGTCATTAGGGCCCCACAGTTTGAAAACATGTTTTGAATATTAGCAATGACATTAGCTCCTCAAGTTTGTTTATGGGCTCTACAATTTTATGGGCTCTAAAATTTTCTACCTACTGATTAAGGGCCTGGGGGAGCCTATATATATATATATATATATATATATATATATATATATATATATATATATATATATATATATATATATATATATATATATATATATATATATATATATATATATATATATATATTTATATATATATATATATATATATATATATTTATATATATATATATATATATATATATATATATATATATATATATATATATATAAAGGGTTTGTATATATATATATATATATATATATATATATATATATATATATATATATATATATATATATATATATATATGAAGACAAGTATACCCTAGGTGTATTTCTCGATTTAAGTAAAGCTTTTGACACTGTCAATCATCAAATCTTTCTATCCAAACTGAAAAGTTATGGTATAATAAATACTAATTTGTCCTGGTTTGATAGTTACTTGACTAATAGAAAGCAGTTTATTTCATATGATAGCGGAAAAACGGAATATAAGTCAATCACCTGTGGTGTTCCTCAAGGATCAATTTTAGGACCACTTTTATTTCTCGTTTATATTAATGACTTATATAAAATTTCTAACATTTTAAACTTAATTTTGTTTCCAGATGATACAAACTTTTTTTATTCTAGTAAAAATATCAGTAAATTATTTCAAACAGTAAACAAAGAACTTGAAAAATTAACCCAATGGTTCAAATCAAACAAACTATCTTTGAACATCAATAAATCCAAATACACTTTGTTCCATCGTCTTCATAAAAAACAAGATATTCCATTAAAACTTCCTGATCTTTTTATTGATAACGCATTATTAAAAAAAGAGCAATCAATAAAGCTTTTAGGTGTGGTTCTGGATGAAAATTTAACCTGGAGGGACCACATAGGTCTAATTGAAAATAAAATATCAAAAAATATAGGT